TGGAATGTTCCTTAAGAATGAGAATGGCCAGACTATCTCACCTACTTTGGCCATGTGGTCAGAAGGGACCATTCCCTGGAGAAGGATACCATGCTCGGTTTCTCCATCAGAGAAAAAGAGGAAGGCCCTCAATAAGCCGGATCGACACAGTGGCTACAATGATGGGCTCAAGCATAACAAGTATTGTGGGGATGGCACAGGACTGGGCTGTGTTTCATTCTGTTGTCCATGGGGTCACTAGGAGTCAGAGTCGATGGCACCTAACAATAACAACATGAAGTGAACAATTCCCCAGGAAGATACACTCCTTGCAGTGATAAACCATGGGAGATCAAAAGGGCAGCATTTGTACAGAGAGAAAGCTTAGGGGGCAGGAATGCATAGGAAAGGACACAGGGAAAAGTTAACCACAGGGAGGAAGTGGAAAGAAAGCTGTTATTGTGGGGATTGTAATCCATGTCACGAAACAAAATGTGTATGAACTATTGAATGGAAAATGAATTTGCACTGTAAACTTTCACCCATATCACAATAAAAAGGGACAGTGTTGATATTAATAATGATAGTGACCAGCTCCCATGTCCCAAATGTCTACTCTGTTCTTCATGCTGTTCCCTTCACAAGCAGTTAATATCACATCAAGTTAATTTCCCACCCCTATGCCAGCATTGTGCCTTCCTGTCTCCCGTATCCTACTCCTCCCTCCTCCCTCCCTTTATGGCCCAGGGAGTGTCACCACCAATGCATTTACCTACACCTCTGAGCCTTGGTTTCAGAGGACAAAGTCCCCACTCCTTGAGGAGACCAGGGGAGTGTGAGGGGGCTTACCTGAAGGACACCACCACCCAACAATGACGACAGAGCTGCCACCATCAGACAGGCTGAGCCGTAGATGAAAGCTGTGGGGGTAGGGTAGGGCAGTCAGGAGGGAGAGGCTGCCCCGACCCCCATCCAGGTCCCCTCAACTCACAGAGCCCCTTGGAGATGATCACGAGCCTCCGGGGTGCCAGGCTCGGCAGCTGCGGCTTAATGAGGTCCTCAACGGTAACAGCGGCCATGGCATTGATGCTGGTGGATGCAGTGCTGGGGGATGATGGGGGTGGGGATCACGTTTCTGGGGAACGGCCACACCCACTCCTGAGTCCACCCGCCCTCAGCGCCCCCAGCCATGTGCACCATTTGGGCTGCCAGGCCCTCTACCAACACAAGGGCAGAGGCAAGGATGACAGAGTCCGCAGGGGAGATGTCTACACCCCTGCACCAAGACCTTAGATGCCCCTTATGTTGCGTGCCTGGGGCCAAAGATGCACACGCGTAGGGTGAGTGAGCGAGTTCTCATTGAAGCACAGTCATGAGGCGCAGGGAAGGCCAGGGAGATGTATGTGGGAACCAGGTCACAGCTAGAGGTTCACCCAGGGGGACTGCAAGTGTCTTGGAGGATTTGAAACCTCCGCAGTGTGGGGCCTGAGGGCAGAGGTCAGGGCTGTTTGGTCATGGCTTTATCCCAGGATTTAGAACAGCAGTACCTGCCACATAGTAGGTATTCAATAAAATTAGGTGGAAAGAGGAAAGGAAGGAATGAAGGGAGAGAGGGAAAGAGGGCAGTCAGGCGTGGCCCTGCCAGGGGGTAAGAAGCCCCCATAGCCAGTGTCCTTGTGCTCAGGTGCACCCAGCCACAGCCCACCTGAGCTGCCAACTGGGGACAGAGCAGGAAACATGATTGGTGACATGCTCAGAACCTTTCATCCCTCACTGGTGTTGCTGGTGCGGACAAGGAGACCCCCTCACCAGGGGTTGGACATCAGGGTGGCTCACCTGAGGGTGCCACTGTAGGCACAGGCCAGAAAGAGGCCCGGGATGCCAGGCAGGTCCTCAAAGATGTCCAACACCAGCAGGGGCATGTACTGGGGAAAGTCAGGGGTCAGGCTCCAGGATTGCCACACCCCAAGAGCAGGACTCCATATGTCCTGACCTCAGAAAGGTCACTTCTTCTCTCCCCCTCCCAGCCTCAGTTTCCTCATCTGTAAATTAAGTAATGACAGCCTTGGCTCATTGACTCTTGGAGTATTTGATGGGAAATTAACTGCTTGTGCAGGGAACAGCATGAGGAACAGAGTAGGTACCCGGGTCATGGGAGATGGTCATTATTATTAATATCAACACTTTGTGCCCAGATCACAACCCATCTCTTCCTTGCTCCCCCAGGGGGACTCTCTGACTCCATATTGAAGGTGCACCATGCCTGCTCATCCCAATCAGGGTTCTCCAATGCCCCTCAGCCTCATCACCTCCATTCCTCCCAGATCCTCCTCCAAGCCAAGCTCTCCTGCCTTTGGGCCTCTGCACAGGCTGCTCCCTCTGCTAAGAATGCCTTTCCACCCCCATCCCCAAGGCTCAAAGAAGGGTACACATCCAGGTAGGACTCACCTGGTCAGGGGCAGAGATGCGACCAGCGAGGAGAGGGTCGCAGTCACTATAGAGCGTGAACATGACAATGCCACAGCCAACAGCACTGCCCACGATCAAGAACAGGCCAAGCTGGTTGATGAGCAAGGCCCTGGGGAAGGGGCAGTCTCAGCTGGAAGAAGTAGGGGTTACCATCTCCCAGAAGGCCCCGCCCCACCCCTCCTGAGCACTCACAGCTTGGCCTGCCTCTCTGTGCGGCAGGCCACGTAGCGCTGCACCTGCGCCTGGTTCACACCATACATGGAGAGCCACACCAACGTGCCACCCACCACAAAGGTCCAGAATGTGTAGCGACTCCGTGGGTCGGGGTTAAAGCTGAGAGGGGAAAAGGACAAGCCAGTCATATGGGGCCACTATAGTGACCTCACCCTCCTGAGGGTCCCAGTGGCCATTCCAGGCTTCATGGGCATTCATTCCAGGGGTCATTTGGGCTGGGTTTTGAAGGGTGAGTAGGAGTTCACCACACTGAAAATTCATTTATTTATTCGTGGAGTCACTCTTGCATGCATTCAAAACTATTCTTTGTGTGTCCAGCTGGGACCTCAGACAGGCTTCAATCTCCAGTCTGGGTGGGGAATGGAGGTGAACAGAGCTAGACACAGATCCCTCCCCAACCTGGTCAGGGTCCAGGCTGGGGAATATGAAGGCTGGGAGACCTTAGAGAAGGGGAGCCATGGTTCTTCCTGGAGGGCAGGGAGGGCTTCCCAGAACCATCACTTGGTTTCCCCAGGGTCAAAGGGATGCCAGCTCCATCCCTTCATGGTGTCCTCTTCCTCTATGTCACTCACTCCATTAGGTTGACCCGGGAGTGGTTCCAGGCAAGCTCAAACACTTGCTGGGGCCCACCCATGATCACAGTCCCACGGGCCAGGACCACCCAGAAGCCCATCAGCATCACCAGAACTTGGAATACATCGGTCCAGACCACAGCCTTCATGCCACCCTGCGAAATGGGGCAGAGATAGGGGAGAAGGTCAGGCAGGGCATCTGCCTGGGACCAACCGGGTCTGGCCTCCAGCAGTGGCTGGGACCAAAGGCCCCTGCTGCCTCAGTTTCCTCATCTGTAAAATGCAGCTAATAATAGTTCCATCCTCATTGTTGTTGTTAAGTGCCATCGAATCAGACCTGACTCATAGTGACCCCTCCTTGGGTTTCCGAGGCAGTATCACTACAGAAGTAGATTGCCCCATCTTCCTTCCAAGGAGTGGCTAGTGGGTTTGAACCACCAGCCTTCTGTCCTCATAGTGAGTGGTTTTATGAGGATTAAATAAACTAGTGAGTGAAAAATACTTGGAATGGCACCTGGCACTTTCAAGTGCTTTGTGAGTGATTGTTGCCATTAGCGTCATTACTATTATTCTAAGGCACCTGACTGCTAACCAGAAGGCTGGTGGTTCAACCCACTAACCACTCCTCAGAAGGAAGATTGGGGAATCTACTTTCATAAAGATTTACTGCCTCAGAAACTCAAGGAGGGGTAGCTATGAATCAAATTGACTCAACTGCAGTGAGCTTTTTTATTATTATTACTATTGTTACTACTATTGCTATTATTTGGGAGCTCTGGTAGCGTAGTGCCTAAGGCACTTGACTGCTAACCAGAAGGCTGGCGGTTCAAACCCACCAGCCACTCTTTGGAAGGAAGGTTGGGCAGTCTACTTTCGTGGTGATACCACCTCGGAAACCCAAGGAGGGGTGGCTATGAGTCAAATCAACTGGACGGCAGTGACTTTTATTGCTATATTAGCTGTTGTTTTTTCCCATCCAGACTCCATAGCTTTGCCTCCTGAAGGAGAAAAAACAATAGCAAACTAGTTGCCACTGAGTGAATTCCACCTCATGAAAACCCCTGTCAGAATAGAACTGTGCTCCAGAAGGTGTTCAAGGCTGTGAGTGTTCAGAAGCAGATTGCCAGGCCTTACTTCTGAGGCACCTCTCAGTGTGTTCAAGCTGCCAACCTTTCCACCAGCAGGAGAGCTTCTAACTATTTCACCTCCCAGGGACACTCTTCCCAAGGTAGCCCCTGTATGTTCCTGTGGAGAAGCCTGTCCCCTCTCACAGTCCATTCAGGTGTGACCATCCTTAATCCCAGCTCCAGGAATGGCCAGCAGGGCATCCCAGCCCCTTAAACTGCCTTGAATGGCTCAACCTGGACACATGACCAAAACCAGCCAAACAGAGCCCTCCCTGGGACATTAAAAAACCAAACTCACTGCCATTGAGTCGACCCCCATCATGGTTTCCGAGGGTAAATCTTCACAGAAGTAGATTGCTTAGTCTTGCTTCCATGGAGTGGCTGGTGGGTTTGAACCACCAACCTTCTGGTTAGCGGACAGATGCCTTAGGTACTGTGCTACCAAAGCTCCTCCCGTGGGACATTAATTCACTGCTGTTGAGTTGGATCCAATTCATAGCAACCCCTCTTTGGATTTCTGAGGCAGTATCACTATGGAAGTAGATTGCCCAACCTTCCTTCCGGGGAGTGGCTGGTGGGTTTGAACCACCAGCCTTCTGGTTAGAAGTCAACTGCCTTAGGCACTACACTACCAGAGAAATGCGAGCTCACTTTCTCACCAGAAGTGGTGGAAGGAAGCCTGAAGCTGATGGGGGCCCAAGAGATAGAAGGAGCGAGAGAAGTCCTGGATCCAGCCATGTCTCAAGCCCTAACTTCTTGCCACCTAAGATAGCCCAGGTCCCAGCTGGACTTAGCAATAACACAGAGACATGGAGAAGGCTTTCAGAGCACTTCTCATTATACCAAAAACCAAACTCACTGCCATCAAGTGGAATCTGACCCTTAGTGACTCCTTCTTGGTTTTCGGAGGTGGTATCACTACAGGTAGTGATACTGCCTCGGAAACCCAAGGAGGGGTCGCTATGAGTCGGGGCCGACTCGACGGCACTTAACAACAACAACAACAACATCACTACAGAAGTAGATTGCCCAACCTTCCTTCCGAGGAGTGGCTGGTGGGTTTGAACCGCCAGCCTTCTGGTTAGGAGTCAAATGCCTTAGGCACTATGCCACCAGGCCCAGCTGAGACATGGGCTTCCTTGGGTAGCAAGAAGATAAGGATGAGGCAGCCCACTCGAGGTCTCCTCCTACCCAGAACTCAGGCAGGCCTGCAGCTTGTTTGTAACAGGGTGGGACCGGTTCACGGTGCCACTCACCACAGTCGTGTACAAGGTGCAGATGGCTCCGGTGGACAGGAGTGATGCCCAAATATCCAGCCCAGTCACTGTGCAGAGGAGACACACATACACACAGAGACACACCTGCTAAGCTGCATGGACAACCCCCTCTTGAACCCTCCTCTCTCCAGGAGCATTCTTTCCTCCTTGCACTCTCTGAGTCTCGCTGGGCGAACCTGCAGCCCCATCCCCTCCTCCCTCCTCATATCCAGTGGCTAAGCCTTTAGCTCCTCTGTGTCCTCCCTCCTGACGCCCTCCTGTTGTCCCCCAGAGTCAAACCTTGGTTAAGGATGAGCGCAGGGGCGTAGATCACGATGCCTGTATACAGCATCTGCAGGAAGGGGGAGGGACAGGTAAGGCAGGCGGGGGCGTTCATGCTTGGTGAAGGGAAAACTCCCCCCGCCCCCGGGCGAATGGGCAGGGCTTGAGGAACTGGAAGGCCCAGGACCAGGCTGTAGGAGGGGCCGACGGGGCAGGGGCGGGGCCGCACAGGATGGGGGCGGGTCCAGGTCGGGTTGTGGGCGGGGCCGACCAAGGGGGCGGGGCGAGGGTCGCTCACGGTCGCCACTAGATACTGGACAGTGCCGCAGAGCCGCACTACACGGCTGAAGCGCAGCTCCAGGTACTGCAAGAAGGAGCCAAGGGCTCGTGGTCATCTAGACTGGCCCTACTCAGGAGCCTATGGCCCCTCGGGAACTCTCATTCGCCCTCTTGGCCTCTGTCCACGGGAAGGCAACTGCGTTCGCCTCACGGTTGCCGGTGATGGCCCCCGTGACGCGCGCACACACCGACCTGTCTGCGCAAGCTGTGCACACGTGCCATTCCCGCACCTGTGTGCGGGAGTGCGAGAGGACTGATCACAGGTCCCCACGCGTCCCCTACTCGCATCTGACCGGCCTGGAGGTGTCTGCAGGAGCACCACACAGACAGTGCCTGCGGCTAGCAGTTATTAGGCGCCTGCAATATACCTGTCACGATTTTTACCATTTTACTCCATGCGCTGCGGGAAACCTGTAATTAGCCCAGTTCGATAACTGAAGATGGAGCCCTGCTGGAGCGGTGGTTAAGCGCTAGGCTGGCTGCTAACTAAAAGGTCCACCCGTTGCTCCCCGGGAGAGAGATGAGGCCGTCTGCTTCCGCAAAGATTTACAGCCTTGGAATTTCTATGGAGCAGTTCCATTCGCTCCCGAAGGGTCGCTGTGAGTCGGATTCGACTTGACAGCAGTGGGCTGCTGGTTTTTGTTTGTTTGTTTGGGTCGGGCAATTGGAGAAACTCAAGAAAGTCGAATTTGGAATCGTGAGCTGCAGTTGCGCGGTCAGTGCGTACTCTTGCGGACTCACGTCCAAGAGTAGGGGGCACAGGTGTCTACCCGCCGCCTCCGCAGCCCCCTGCAGGCCGCGCTTGGCTCCGCCCCGCCCACACTCCACCTGGAATCGGGCCCGCTTCCCTTCCTCCTTCCTTCCCCTCTCAACACTGCCTGGGGCCGCTTCCCAGAACCCTCCCACTTCTTTGCCTCGAGGCCCCTCCATTAAAGCCCCCAGGAGCCGGCCGACTTCTTTTGAGCAGCGCTTCGAAGCCCCGGGGGCCTCCCTGTCTCCGTGTTCCCCGCCGGGCAGCGCCTGCTCCCACCTCTGCCCTACCTGGTAGGTGCTGGTGAGGCCCAGGCGGTAGAAGACGGGCAGGAACAGCGTGACGGTGAGCAGCGAGTTGAGCAGCTGGCCCAGGCACATCCACAGGAACTTGAGGCCATAACGGGAGGCCTCGGCCGGCACGCCCAGCACCTGCACCGCGGACATGAAACTGGCGGCCAGCGACAGGCCCACGGGCACGGCCGCCAGGCGCCGGCCACCCATGAAGAAGTCCTCCGCGCTGCGCTGCCCGCCGCGTGCCAGCCCGACCCCTAGCCCGATGCCGGTGGACACCAGCAGCATGAGCGCGAAGACCCCGTAGTCCCAGGCCCCGAAGGTGGCCCGCGCCCCTGCTGCAGCGCCGGTCATCAGTGCTGGCCGGAGGGCCAAGCCCCTCTGCGTCCCTGTCCGCGCGTCCCGTGTGCCCCCCGCGAGGGAAGCTAGCAGTGACCGAGCAAGAAGGACCGGCCACGGCGAATCCCACGCCTGTCCCCCTTGGTCGGACGTGAGGGACGCGCGAGGGGCCGGGGCAGGGCTCGCTTGGGCAAGGGTCTGTGGGTCCTCACAGCAGCCGTCTGCTTCCCTATCTACGCTTCTGCCTCTCTGCCGCCTGTCTGGCGTCTATCAGTTCACTCAGGGTCCCACTGCCCGGTGCAGCCTTCTGTCCCGCCGCCCGTTGTCTAGCGCTACAGCTGTGGGTGACTGTGGGGCTTAAAGGGGAGCTGGCCACTGCAGGCTGGATTTATTGACGCCCCGGGGTCAGCGCAGCTCCGCCCCTGGAGCTGGGAACGGGCGGGACCCGCACTCTTTCCTCCCTGGACTGGGGCAAACAGAGCCGGGCGGGTCATGTGGGCGGTTGTTGGGGGGTGGGGCGAGGAGGCTCCCAAATATCCCCCTTGCTGGAACTGGCACACGTCCTGACATAGGCTGTTGATATCTCCCACTGACAGGTAGGGAAACTGAGGCTCAGGAGGGACATGTCATTGGCTCAAGGCCACACAGCCACAGCCGAGAGCAGCAGCTTCAGGATTCATATCCATCAGATCTGACTCCTAGTCACCCCTCCTTGGGTTTCTGAGGCGGTATCTCTACGGAAGTAGATTGCCCAGTCTTCCTTCCAAGGAGTGGCTGGTGAGTTTGAACCACCAGCCTTCTGGTTAGCAGTCAAATACCTTAGGCACTACATCACCAAACAGCCCCTGCCTCAGCGATTACTAACTTAAAAGCTGGCAGCCCGAACCCACCCAGCAGTTCCGTGGAAGAAAGGCCTGGCACCCTACTTCCATTAAGATTAGAGCCAAGAAAACTCTATAGAGCAGTTCTCCTCTGAAGCACAAGGGGTTCCCATAAGTCAAAATTGACTTGGTGGAAATGGGTTTGATTTTTTTTTTCCCCCAGAGGAATATACTGGACTGCATAGTGGGAGCTCTGGTGGTGCAGTGCCTAAGGCATTTGACTGCTAACTAGAAGGCTGGTGGTTCAAACCCACCAGCCACTCCTTGGAAGGAAGACTGGGCAATCTACTTCTGTAGAGATACTAACCCAAGGAGGGGTTGCCATGAGTTGCAGTCGACTTGATGCTAGTGAGCTCTGAGTATAACTCAAAGCTGACTTGTACTAAGCCACTCATTCCCTTATTCCCTCAGCGGTCACGCATCCAGTCAGGCAGCATGGGTGTTGATGGAAGTCATGGGAGGGAGCCAGTGCCCAGGGCCATGAACCCAAATCAATGGGGACTCCTGACGACCCTAGAGGTTGAGTCCCATGTGTCCCCATGACATGGATGAGGAAACCAAGGCACAGAAAGGGAAGTTCTTTGCCTGAGGTTGCCAGCTAAGAGACTCAGCGCTGTCATCTCAGGGCCCTTCCCTGGGGACTCAGAGGGCGTCCCAGGCAGGTGGGGTTGGAGACTGAGCATTCTTTGAACCAATGAAAGGCAGAGGAGACTTTGGCCTTTAGCCCTGCCTCACCTTTCTAGAGAACCTGGAACACCCTTCTAGAAAACTTGGAGGCAAAGAGGAGATCTTGGCAAGGATCCCCAGTCTGAAAAGCTATGAAATGTACGCAAATAGGCCCTGTATCCCCAGGGATGCGCTCCTCTTGACAGCTCCAAATCCTCCCTCTCCTCCTTCTGTGGGTGTCTCCACTGCAGACAGAGGCCTGGGCTGAAAGTCTTGTTCCTTTAGCCTGCACATGGATCGAATGTCTACTGTGTACAGGGCCCATGCTGGGAACTGGGGACACAATGGGACCAGGTGGACCCACTCCACATGCCAGCTCAGGGCACTGACTCAGCCTTCAGCTGATTACCCATTTCAGAAGGTGAAGGGTGACATAAGCAAGGCCAGGAGATAGATGGAGGCAGAGTGGCAGGTGGCTCTGGGGGGGCTTTGGGGCAGGCCGCTGGAGGAGGGGAGTGGAGAGGAGCAGTAGAGCGGCAGCCAGGCATGGAGGGACCTGGCGGGAGGCTGCTCCAGGCGGAGAGAACAGTGCATGCAAAGGGAAAGCTTTGAGAGTTTGAAGAAGAGCCAGGAGGCTAGGGTGGCTGGTGCAGATGAATGAAGGGTCCATGAGAGGAGGGAGGAATACAAGGAGCTCAGAGGGTGCTGGGAAACCACGGGAGAGTTTAGAATAGGTGAGAGGCCTGAAAAGCCCCCTAGGACAGGAGCTAAGGGGTGGGAAGTAGTGGGCAGATGCAGAACATTCTGGAATTTAATATGTAGGAAGGGGAGAGAGGCAGAACACATCCCAAAGGTGCAGCAGCTGCAGATAGCTTGAAAAGAGGTGGCAGGAATAGAGCCTGTGGCTGCAGTCAAGGTGCTGTGTGGGTGGGTGGGAGCAGCATGGAGATCCAACAGGGGTCAGGGATGAGGGGTTGTGAGTTCCTCTGGCTCTAGCACTGACTTGGGGGTGACCCCGATGACTCATGCGCTGGCTGCTGCTTAGGAGCTAACATAGCCCCCTCAGTCAGGATTTTAATCCAGGCCACTTGGCTCCAGTCAGTCTCTGAATTTCAGTCCTGGGCTCAGTAAATGCCGCTCTTGTCTGAGATCCCCCAAATCTAAGTTCTGAAGGACCCAAGACTGTGGTTGCCTAGACAGTCCTTCCGGGGTTCAGACTGGAGTCCTGAGTCTCCACCTGGGTCTTAGCGGTCCCAATTCAGGAGCAGAGGTGCAGGGTGACGCACCCCCCCTCGGGCGCTCCCGGCCTTGGCCATGCCCAGCAACAGCACCTGGAAGCCCTCAGCACTTGAGGGCAGGGGGAACCGCTGGAGTGCACCCAGAGTTCCTGGGTTAATGCCCTGGCTCATCCTTGGACAGATTGAGTGAGCTGGACAGAAACTCACTTCCATGGTCCCCAGCCAACAAGAGAGTACTGCAGAATCAGCAAGCAAGGCCCCCAGCCACATGGAAATGCTACTTGGACGTCGCTTCTCCACCTCCAAGCCATTGATCTGGCTGGTCCTGGCACCTAGCAACCAAAACTCAACAGCCAAAGCTTGGCTCAATGGGTTTGCCTCCAGCAAGCTCTGAGCAGGGTGGCTGCTCTTTTCCCTCCTGAGGCAGAACCAGGGGATATTGTCCCGACAGGCTGCTGAGCAATTTGCATGAGTTCAAGGATGAAAGATGCTGGAACAAAGGGATGCTGGTAGATGGGGGTTAGGGCGAAGATGAAGGGTGGTTGGATGGATGGATACACGAGATGTTGGGTGGGTCATCAGATGTTGGAAGGATCCAATATTGGAATGAGGAGGAGCTGGAAGGGGGTGGAGTCTGCAGGCAGATTCATGAAAGGCTGAGTAGATGGTAGAGTAGATGGGTTGGTGGATGGTTAGGGAGTTGGGGGTCCACTCATCTGTTTCAAGGGTTGGCCCCATTCCACAGTTGGTTGGGGAAAAGCCTCTGTATCAGGTTCAGAAGCTGTGGCATGCATGGGCCAGGGAAGGGGGGAACCTTGACAGAGGTCAAGGCACAGGAAGGTCCTGAGGTGGGGATGTGAGTGCCCTGGCCCACCAGATTCCTACTGGTGCATCCTGCATGATGGGCCTCCTGGCCTCTCAACCTCTAGTTCACTTGATGCACTTCTAGACCTGAGGGATCACCACCCCCATAACACAGGAAGATACTGGGGCTCAGAGTCAGAGAGGGCAACGACTTGTCCCAAGCACGAGTATTAGGGTCTGAGACCAGACCCCGATGTCCCACCTTGAGGTCATCATAGGTTAATGGGAACCCCAGATAATAGCATTAACACGACTGGTGTTTCCTTATGTTCCAGACATGCAGGGGTAGATGGTTCCAGCTGGGACATGTGTAGGAGGGAAGAGGACAGCCTAGCTGTGTCCAGTCAAGGACCCTTCCCCTGCCACCTTGTTGCTTTGAGTGGACAGCTTCCTTTAATGACTGGAGTGCTACCCACCATTCCAGTCAGCTATTAGACACTTTTGTAGCTTTGTTCAGTGTATGTAAAGAGCTCTTGTAAAACAGTAATTGATTGGCAGTCCACCAGAGCAACAAGTTAACTAATGAAAGCTGAAACAGCACTTTTCTCACTCACTGCCATTGAATCAATTCTTACTTATAGTGACCCCCATCAGGGCTCCTAGGTTGTAAATCTTTAGGGAAGCAGATACTCTCTATTTTCTCACGGAGCAGCTGTGGGGTCATAACCCCTGACCTTCGGGGAAGTAGCCGAAATTAGTCTCAACTGTTACACCACCGTAACTCCTTGAAACTGGTCTATAAATCATTGAAAAGGTGCTCAGCAGTTTCACAGAAAAGAGAAAATCTTGTGATTTTTCATCAAAGTTGATGATCCAGTGAAAACAGGCCCCCTTTCAATGCCATGGAAGCTCTGGTAGTGTAGTGCCCAAGGCATTTAACTGCTAACCAGAAGGCCGGTGGGTCAAACCCACCAGCCACTCCTCAGAAATCGGGCAATCTACTTCTGTAGAGATACCACCTCGGAAACCCAATGAGGGGTCGCCATGAGTCAGAATTGACTCCAGAGCAGTGGTTTTTTTTGGTTTTCAATGCCACTGGGTGCCTGGCACATCTAAGGGCAGGCACATCGCAATGTCAAGACTAGGGTAGGAGCTTTTCACCCACAACATCCCAGTGATAGGATGCATGTACTTGGGTACTCCCTGCTTGTCAATGCCCTTTTCTGGGTCCCACCTGCCCATCCACTCATGGCTTAGAGCCTTTCCTGTGTAGAGAGCTCAGCATGGTCCCTGCCCTCTTGCACTCAGAGCCTGGTGACAAGAGACAGACAAAACCCTGCAAAGAGATGAACAGCTTGAGTGACGGGTCAAATAAGGTGATAATCTGAATGTTCAAGGCAGCGGGCCCAGCAAGTCCAAAGGGTGAGGTGGGAAGAGCAGACTGTAGGAGCAACAGGAATGAGGTTTCCACGAGCATATCCAGTGCCTTCTGCACCAGGACTGCTTGGGCTGGAGTTTCAAGCGGCCTATGCTGGCATCCATCCAGGCTGATCCGACCACCTTGTTCCTCCCCAAAGGGGCAGCAACACAGTAGGGCTTCTGTGGAGGCACCCCATCTTCAGCAACTGTGCCTCAGCTTCCTCTTGACCTGTATTATCACTAGAAAGCTAGGCTGGGGCTGCTCAAGGTCACATCCCAAGAGCAGAGGACAAGGACAAGGCTCTACACTGGGCCCTCTACTCCCCACCCACACTGGCTTAGGCAGGGTGGAATTAGTTTGTGCCGGGAATTTTCCAGCCTGAAATGGTTTCCTGGAGACGGATGCCAATGGTGAGGACCTGGCTGCCACCTCAAGCAGGATTAAGGGGTCCCCAACCGGAATGGCGGTGGTGGTGGTAGGGGAGTGGCCTTCAGCATGGCAGGTTCAGGCTCCTCAGGGGCCTCCTTGTGTCAGCTTGGAGGATCTCCAACTTCTAGGTGAAGGTCTACCACAAGGGGAGAGCCCCAGCTGAGGGAAGAGAGGATGCTCACCTTGGTCTTCCCCCAGCTGTCACGAGCAGAAATGGAAGGAGCTAAGACCTCTGATCCACAAGGCAGAAAGGAACCGGTGGGGTTCACCCCTGGGTCCCCCTCCTGGGGAGGTAGCTCTGGGCCCCACTCCAGGAGCAGACGTGTAGTTTGCTTGAATGCACAGAGGCAAGAACTAGCAATGCCACCAAGAAGGGCCTGGGCTCACGTCCCACTCTGTGCCCTTTTGATTTCTGTATGGGGGCAAAGAAAACACCATCTAAGCCCCCAGAGTCAGCCCTGAGGCATTTATTGGGCAGACCAGGGGTAGGGGGTGGGGCCGTGCTTAGAAGAAGGTGTTGGGCCTCTTGGTGGTGAAGCGTGGCTTGTGCTGGCGACGCAAGACCCGGTGGGGCAGTGGGAACTTGATCTTGGAGTCCTGGAAGAAAAGGAGGGGCAGAAAAAGTGAGGTGAGCAGTCAGCATGGGGTCTCTGAACCTCTTCCCAAGCCACTAAGGTATGCCTGTGCACTAGGCTGCTCTGTCAATCCTGCCCCACCCCCAGTTCCCCTAGAGGGATCATCCCCTACCCCTCAAATCTCCAGGGGCCTGAGACACTCACGTGGAACTGCTTGACCGCGGGCCGGCGGCACTTGCTGGCTGCAATCTCCTCCACTTTCATGATCTGGATAGAGTGGGCCCGGGCTCGGTGCCGAGCTCCCATGTCGCGGTCTGTGGGGAAGGGTAAACACGAACCTCTCACTGTGCACTGCTCGATGCTGAGTGACCCCACACAGCCCCAGGGTCCACCCACCAGGGGTGTAGAACCTCCACATTCACTCTGAGGGGCACAGTACAGCCTCCCAAAGGCGACCAGGTCCATTTGCTGTGTGCACCTCTGTTTGAACCACTGCTACCAGAAACCGCGGTTCTTGGGTTTGGGTGCAAGTGGGCAAGTGTGGGGTTCTTGGAACCACACCTCTGTGTAAGAGATGCTGCGGACACTCAGCCTGCAGGTGGGAGATGTCATGGGCTTGGCAGACCCAACCCCTCCACCCAAATCCTTAAGGTCCGCCTGTCACCATGTTCCAAAGGTGCCCCAGGGGCGTGCTATGCAAACCCACCCAGATCTGGGGGTATAAGATGGTGGTACTTACAGCACTGGGTGACAGCACCTGCGGTGGTCAGGTCCCGGTACTCTCGGTACATGTTGTGGGTCCCACTCCGGGAGTCGTAGCGCAGCCAGATGCCAAAGTTCTTGACCCGCAAGGGGGACTTCTCAAATACCTACAGGGGCAAAAGCTGGGCTGAGGGAAGTAGCAAGGGGGCTTCCACCTTGACCACACTGCCTCATGACAGCCTTGCTGCCCCCATGCCCACCTCTCAGTTTCCCAGTCCTATGCGTACCATCAGGCAACCAGGGAGCCTGCAACCTAAGGGAAACCCCACAGCACCAGCACATGGCAGGACCAGGTCAGTTGCTTCCCCCGTGTAGACCCACAGAGCCCCTCCCCAGTCCAGGCCTGGTCCTCCACACTGAGCCAGCACCTGTCACGTCACAAGTACCCAGGTGACAGTACCACTCCATGCCTCCTTTGCTGCATGAATCCCAGGGACCCAACACCATCTCTCCTACTTTTAGAGTTAAATGCTAAGGAGGGTCACCACCTCAATGAGATGCTGTCCCCTCCAGCCACACACTTCCCTAGGCTCCAACTTTCTTACCAGGGAATGCCCCAAGAAGCATGACCAGGCTCTGCGAACTGTAGACCTGCAGGGATGCAGGCTGCCCCCAGGAAAGCCAAGCTGCCTCCAGCCCCTACCCTGCTCCATGCCTCCCGTACCTGCCCACAGTACACAATCTCCCCTGAAGACTTCTTCATCTTCTTCAGCTGTGATACAAAGTACCAGAAGCGTGACTTGGCAACGACATGGTTGGGGGCAAAGATGCGCATGCGGTAAAGCGGTGGTGTCTGACACTTGGGGGTAGGAAGGCAGCGCCCCACCACCTTGTATTCACGAAGCTGTGGGGGAGAGGGGAGAGGTGGCACCAAGGCCCAGATCCCTCATCGGGCGACTGTAGAAACATACCCACCCCCTTTCCCACCCAAGGCTTCACGCCAGCGCCTCCATGGGGAATCCAGACCAGAAGAGAGGCTCCAGGGAAGATTCCGTAAATGCTGCTACCCTCTGTCTTGTCTTGTCAGCAAAACTGGGCAAGCTTTCCAGGAGCTCTCAACACCGCCCTCTCTACCCTTTTTTTTAAACAACTTTAATGTAACACAGAAAACTACAGAGAATACAGACAAAAACGGAGACATGCATAAGGCTAGGGCCAGGAGGAGTCCTAGCACTGGGACTCATCATCTCAAGGGGGTAACACATCGACTCTCCCAAGAACAGAAGTCCATTCTCATCAATCAGGAAATTCTTCAAACCCCTTCTCCCTTCAGGTACACAGCAAAACTGAGGCCTCCCTGGGCCTGGGTGGCTCTAAATATTAGGTCAAGGGCTTGACTACTAGCTAAAAGGTTGGCCGTTCAAACCCACCCAAAAGCACGTCGCAAGGGTTGGTGATCTGCTTCGCAAACATCATCACCATGAAAACTGTGTGGAGCAGTTATGCTCCAAGGCAATAAACAGCAAAAGCTAAGACTTAGACCCACAGCCGCAGGCTCTCAATGGTCATCTCTGTCACAGTCATTTTGCTGGGTTGACAGCACCCCTGTCCCTCAACTTCAAACTAACGTCCTCCTTCCACTCGGAGAGAAATAAGACAGGAGGGGACCCAAGGGAGCTCACAGCCCACTTTGGGCAGAGCCAGGACAGGAATCCAGGGCAACGCTGCCGTGCCTCAATTTCGCCAACCGGAGTCAGGGTTTAGACCACTTGCGGCTCCCGGCTGAGAGTCAAAAATGCGGGTATTATAAAAAATTCAAGGCAACCATTATTATATCACAGAAGGTATCTCCTCCGTAAATAATCTGCCAGATTTTTATTTCTAATAAAATATGGTTAAATATCACAAATTCAACCACTACTTCCGCTCTCGACTTGACCAGTAGGACTTGCCACTACTTCCAGCTCTCGACCTGTAGGATTTGCTTTTCCGCAGGGGCCACTCTTTCAAACTACCCCTCCCCCACGACGTCCGCTTTCATGAGGGGAAACTGAGGCTCGGCAGCCCCAAAAGTAAGCAACACAGGCTTACACGTCGCGCAGCTTGTCTCTTCCTCCGGATCGGACACGTGGCTTCCTCGAATATCGCAATGTCAGAGCCCAGCCAAGGCCACCCACGCGGGCCTCCCCACGCGGCGTCGCCATGTTGGATGGGCCCAAAGAACAGCGGCACGCGGCCAGGGGGGCCCAAAAAGGAGTGAGCGAACCCACGTTGTCTGCGACGCTTCCCGGAAACCCCGAGCCAGGCTGCACTCCGTCCCACGACCCCCGGCCCCGCTGCGCCCTGCTTACTGTGCCCGAGGCTTTCATGGCAGTCCCTCCGCACTCGCCGCGACCCGCAAAAGGAAGTGGCTGCCCTCGCGCAGCCGCTCACCACGATTTCGCTGCCGGAAATCCCGCCCTCCAAAGGCCATGAGCCCATTGGCTCCGCGTTCAACCAGATCTGCTTCTTCATTGGTTCCAGATCCACCTACCATCCACCACCTTGCCTTGATACGCGGCGAGCCTACATCTACCAGGAGGCAGCACGGCGATCACTTCCTGGTGCAGCCGTGGCCGTAATGGAGCATGGGCGCTTGGGCCACGCTGGGAATTGTAGGCTCTGTTGGGAGCCTGTCGAGCTGGCTTGACGTTCCACTTCGCCCGGCTGCTAATAATTATTAACCGGACTTTTGGGACCCTGAGACCTTCGAGTTAATAAGACCCCGGCGGGTCTCCCCACTCGGAGCCTCTTCTCCCGGGAGCTGTTATAAGCAGGTCCTGAATCATAAATCTGAAGGTTCTCATCCGTACAATGGGTATAATATTAGTATCTTAGACAAGTTGCAAGAATCAGTTGTAGTTAGGTGCCATCAAATTGGCTCCGACTCACAGCGACTCTGTGTGCAACGGAATGAAACACTGCGGTTAGTGCGCCATCTTCACAATCCTTGCTATATTCTAGCCCATCATTGACATTGTTTCAAGGCTATTCATAAAGTTTTCCAGTAATGTATTAGACAGTGTTTCACTGCTATTCATGAGGTTTTCACTGGCCAGTTTTTTGAGAAGTGCATGGCCCCTTCCTCCTTCCCAATGTGTCTTAGTCTGGAAGCTCCACTGAAACTTGTCCACCATGGGTGACCCTGCTGGTATTTGAAATACCGGTGACATAGCCTCCAGCCTCACAGCAACATGCAAGCCACCACAATAGGACAAACTGACATATGAGTGGTGGGCAAGAATTAGAGAACTCGAATAAAGCGCCAGGTACAGAGTAGTCAACCATTAACCCGCATCAAACACTTGGATACTAGTTGTTATTGGGGTCCAAGGTGTGTTTTGTTGTTGTTAGCTACCATCAAGTTGCCCTGACTCATGGAGACCACCCCCCGACGCACATACACACGCACATCCATGCACATCCTAGCCATCCCCATGTTGGTTGCAGATCAGATCTTTGTAATCCATAGGATTTTCATTGGCTGCTTTTCAGCAGCAGATCAGCAGGCTTTTCTTCCTAGTCTTAGTCTGGAAGCCCCACTGGAACCTACTAAGCATCATAGCAACACACAAGCATGCGCTGATGGACTAGTGGTAGTTGTGCATGAGGTAGAAATGGTCTCCCTTATGGGAGGGGAGAATTCTGCTGCAGAACCACCTCTGCCCACAGTTCTGTTTCATAGAAGATTCAGACTTCAACTCATCTGCTTCTGTTCACGGAGGGAGGTGGCCAATGGACCAAGATGCAGCCCTCACCTTCCAGGAACTCCTAAGTTTAGGAACTTGCTGAGGCAAAGGGAGGCCCCAGTAGGGAAGACTATGGTAGCACTACTATTGCATTTAATGTTTGGATTTGTAACAACCTAGATCAAATTGTTATTAACATAATGTCAGTAACATACAAAAATTCTATACTTACATCATTCCTCCCCACCCCTTTTATGTCATTGCTGTAACCAATTATGTCTGTACATCAAGTGCCCTGCAACAAATGTATTTTCTTTGTGGTTGAAGAACATGCTAATCATACTATGGAGAGATACAATATTGCTGTTGTTGTTATGTGCCGTCCAGTCGGACCCAACTCAAAGTGATCCCTCCTTGGGTTGCTGAGGCAGTATCACTACAGAAGTAGATTGCCCAACCTTCCTTCTGAGGAATGGCTGGTGGGTTTGAACCGCCAGCCTTCTGGTTAGCAGTCAAGTGCCTTAGGTACTAAGCTACCAGATACAATATTACATTGTTATAATGATTATATAATTTTATGTCTCAAGGAGCTAAGGAAAGAAAGGAGAGTGAGGATGTATTGCTATAGCATAGAGTTTATTGATCTCATAATCGTTTCAGTGTTCTTCATTTCTCCCTTTGGATTTGAGGTGCTATCAGCCATCATCCCCTTACTTCAATACAGCTTTGCTCCCACCCACTCCCTTTGTGGTATAATGAAACATACTGTGTTTCTATATGTAACAGGCCCAATGATACAAATATATACATTTTTAAAATACAATTGCTTTTTACATCAGCTAAGAGAAGTCCTTATGTGCCTGTTGAGTTGCTTCTTACTCATGTTGTTGCTGTTAGGTGCCATCCAGGCATCTCCGACTCATAGTGACCCTATGCACAGCAGAACGAAACACTGTCTGGTCCTGGGCCAGCCTCACAATCCCTGCTATACCTAAACCCATCGTTGCAGCCACTGTGCCAGTCCATCTAATTGAAGGCCTTCCCCTTTGTTGTTGACCCTACACTTTACCAAGCATGATGATATCCTTCTCCAGGGAATGGTCTCTTCTGACAACATGAGCAAAGTAAGTGAGACGAAGTCTGTCCATTCTCGCTTCCAAGGAGCGTTCCCATGGCACTTCCTCCAGGACAGATTTGTTAGTTCTTTCAGCAGGTGATGGTACTTTCAGCATTCTTTGCCAACATCGCAACTCAAAAGCATCGGCTCTTCTTCAATATTCCTTATTTATTGTCCAGCTCTCACATGCATACGAGGCGTTGAAAATACCATGGCTTCTGACAGGCATACCTTACTCTTCAGGGAGATATTTTTGCTCTTCAGCACTCGAAAGAGGTCTTTTGCAACCTATTTGCCCAGTGCTATATGTCGTCTGATATCCTGACTGCTGCTTCCATTGGTGTGGATTGTAGAACCAAGTAATATGAAGTCTTTGAAAACTTCAATTTTTTCTCCATATATTGTGATGTTGCTTATTGGTCCAGTTGTGAGGATTTTTGTTTTCTTTATATTGAGTGTAATCCATACTGTAGACTGTATTCTTCAGTCTTCATCAGTAAGTGCTTCAAGTCATCCTCACTTTCAGCAAGCAAAGTTGTATCATCAGCATATCACAGGTTGTTAATGAGTCTTCCTCCAATCCTGATGCCACATCCTTCTTCATATAGTCCAGCTTCTTGGATTATTTGCTCAGTATACAGATTGAATAAATATGGTGAAGGGATACAACCCTGATGCACTCCCTTTTGATTTTAAACCATGCAGTGTCCCCTTGTTCCATCTGAACAACAGCCTCCTGGTCTATGTACAGATTTCTCATGAGCACAATTAAGTGTTCTGGAATTCTCATTCTTCTCAATGTTATCCACAATCTGTTATGATCCACACAATCAAATGCTTTTGCATAGTCAATAAAACACAAGTAAACATCTTTCTGGTATTCTTTGCTTTGAACCAAGATCCATCTGACATCAGCAATGATATCCCTCGTTCCACATCCTCTTCTGAATCTAGCTTGCATTTTTGAAAGTTCTCTGTCAATATACTGCTGCAACCATTTCTGAATTATCTTTAGTAAGATTTTACTTGAGTGTGATATTAATGACATTGTTCAATAATTTCCACATTCTGTGGGATCATCTTTCTTTGGGATGGGTACAAATATTGATCTTTTCGTCAGTTGGCCAGGTGGTTGTCTTCCAAATCTCTTGGCATAGCCAAGTGAGTGCTTCCAGGACAACATCCATTTGTTAAAACATCTCCATGGGCATTCCATAAATTCTTGGAGCCTTGTTTTTCACCACTTCCTTCTATGCAGCTTCGACTTCTTCCTTCAGTACCATTGGTTCTTGATCATATGCCACCTCTTGAAATGGATGAACATTGACCAATTCTTTCTGGTATAATGACTCTGTATATTCCTTCCATCTTCTTTTGATGTTTCCTGCATCATTCAATATTTTGCCCATAGAATCTTTCAATATTGCAACTCACAGCTTAATTTTTTTCATCAATCCTTTCAGCTTGAGAAATGCTGAGTCTGTTCTTCCCTTTTGGGTTTCTAATGCCAGGTCTTTGTACATTTCATTATAATAATTGACTTTGTCATCTTGAGCTGCCCTTTGAAATCTTCTGTTCAGGTGTCTCTCTCTCTCTTTTTTTTTTTTTTCCTTGTCATTTTTTTCCAGTTGCTTTAGCTACTCTTCTCTCAAGGGCAAGTTTCAGAGTCTCTTCTGACATCCATTTTGGTATTTTCTTCCTTGCCTGTCTTTTTAGTGACCTTTTGCTTTCTTCATGGATGATGTTCTTGATGTCATCCCACAGATTCTTCAGGTTTTCGGTCAATGGTGTTCAATGCATCAAATCAATTCTTTAGATGGTCTCTAAATTCAGGAGAGATAAATTCAAGGTCATATTTTAGCTCTCCTGGACTTGTTTTAATCATCTTCAACTTCAAGTTGAACTTGCATATGAGCAGTTGATGGTCTGTTCCACAATCAGCTCCTGGCCTTGTTTTGGCTGAAGATATTGAGCTTTTCCATCACCTCTTGCCACAGATATAGTCAATCTGATTCCTGTGTACTCCATCTGGTGAAGTCCATGTATATAACCACCATTTGTGTCTTTGAACAAAGGTATTTGCAATAAATAAATCATTGGTCTTGCACAATTCTGTCATGGGATCTCCAGCTTTATTTCTACCACCAAGGCCAAATTTTCCAACCACCTGCGATTCTTCTTTGTTTTCAACTTTTGCCTTCCAGACTCACAGCAATCGAATATAACAGAGAACTGCTGCAAAAGCTTTCCTACACTGTTACCTTTATGGGAGCAGATTGCCAGGCTGTTTTCTCCCGAGGAGTAGCTGGTGGGTTCAAACCACTGATCTCTAGGTTAGCAATCGAGTGCTTAACCACTGTGCCACCAGGACTCCTTGTTAAGAAAGGAAAGAGGAAGAAATATGGTGCTTTTAGTAATCATGGAGTCCATTCTCACACATCGTGACTTTATAGGACAGAGTAGAACTGCTCCCTACAGTTTCCAAGATTGTAATCTTTGCAGAAGCTGAGTGCACATCTTTCTCCCATGGAGTGGGTTTGACACAGCACTGATGTTGAGGTTAGCAGCTGAATACTTAACCCCTGAGTAACCGTGGCTGGAAC